GCGGGGGGGGGGGGGGCGGCCGGAAGCTTTTCCGCCTGGGGCGGCGGAAAAGCCAGAGCCGGCCCTGATAGGAAAACTTCCTGAAGACCATCTTATCACAACCTCAAGGTTTGTACATCATGTATATATTAGAAGTAAGCAGACTCAAGGTCAATGTGAAATGTTATGGTTGCAAATCATTGAAGTGGAAATTCACTGAAGTGAAAATGAACAAGTTTTAAAGTACATCAGTTTTTAAAAAAGTGACTCAAAAATTAAAGTTAAAAAAAAATCACACAGTGGCAGTACAGCTGTTAACTCTATTATAGAAAAAATTCCCTAAAATATATTGACCTTTATCACTTTTTCTTTTGTATGGATACAACATTTACAAATTAATAGAACAATTTGAAATCCATTTGAGGACTTTAGGAGATGCAGAGTGCTTTGCTATACTTCCTGGAAATAAACATGAGGCACCTTTTCCACAATGCATTTGATGGCTTGGAGGTCTCCACATTCACACTGTGGCAAATCCTTGATTCTCCATTTGTGCATCAAGTGCGTGCATCCTCCATGTAACAGCCTAATACAGTTGATGGCTGTCCACTGTCTTTGGCAGAGCAATAAACTAGGCAGTTTGACAGTGGGATCGTTTATGAGGTGCTTGTTTACAGCAGAGCGCCCATTGCATCCGTCAGGTGTCTTCTGGGTTGAAGTTGGATTATAGAAGAGCTTTTCCAGCCACCCAGAAAGCTTGGCAGGACTACAGGTAAGTGTGAGAACAAGGTGGTCATGGAGTGGGAGCTTTCGGTTAGTGGGAGCTTTCTTCTACTCACGCAACATAGCCCTCTCTCACCAGGAGGCTGGAGGAAGGATGTCTGTGAGGACTGGAAGTCAAGGCAGCGGAGTGGACTTCAGGGTGTCAGTTCCAATTCTCACAGCAGCATTTAGTTGGATATCAACTAGGTTCATGTGCAAGTTACTTCCCCAAACAGGGGTACAGTACTCGGCCGTGAAATAAACTAAAGTCAGTGTTGCCATTCGTAGCATTTGAGCATTACAATCCTTGCTAGAACGTGCTAGTTTTTGGAGGATATTGATGCAATGCTTCATTTTATGGCTCACCTGCCTCAGATGTTGATAGGTAAGGCTGCAATCAAGGTAGCAGGGGTTAGGATCATGGGCAATTGCCTTGCCACAGAATTTTACAGTCAACATCATCTTAGTTTCAGAATTGCAGAGATGGCAGCTGACTACAGCATTTTTGATGGATTGGTTTGAGCTGCACATATCTAAAGTAGTTTTCAATCCTCTTCAGATCAGCGTTAAGGGAGGTCTTCTGCTTCCTTGAGTGTTGTGGACTGCGTTGTTAGTGCCAGGACATGCCACAAGTTCATTTATGCTAATGACATTTCAGGCACAAAAAGGGATGGTGCCAGTATTGATCCCTGTGGGATTCCAACGTGCAGAGCCCGTTTTTTGCTAACCCGACTTCCAAGATAGACACACAATGTTCTGTCTGAAAGCACTGATCTAATGACAGTCTTACCACAGAATCAGAGTAACAGTGACCCAGTAGTTCACATCTGTTACCAACTTGGTGAAGTCTAATTATAGACCATACCACCAGTTTGGTGTGTCAGCCCTGTTTTTGACAGTCTGCCCTGAGGTAGGCACTCATGGTTGTCAGCCACTCCAGCCAGCGTGACAGATACCTTTGATTATTTCCAAGCTGTTGGGAGTTTGCTGGTGGCAATGACTTCTGTGAATAGTACTGCCATCCAGTCACATCCTCTCAGCTGAGATATTTATGGAAGTCCAGAAGAATGCTGTCAATGCCAGATGCTTTTCCTGCTTTGGTAGCAGAGAGGACAGTATCGATCACAGCTTTTGTGAAGGACTGACAGACTTGAGGGAGGAGCATACGATGTGCAGGATTCCTTGAAAGCTGTTTTCACCTCTTTTTGTGTGAACGTCGGCTTACTATTATCTTTGAATTTCTTAGTAGGAGGCTGGCAATGCTGTTAGCAGTGACTTGGAGTGTGTGTGTGTGCGCGCACGTACACGCACATGCACAGCGATGCAACTGCTCCACTTAGGTGCTGCAGAAGGCTCCATACTTTAGGGCTTGAGTGTGTGAAGTCTGTGGCCTCCACTGACTCTATTCATCATTGTCACCTTGTAGAGTCCAATGTGACTAGAAGAGCAGTAGCTAAGTCTGGTCACCAGTAGCTTCATATTCCCTTAGGAGCATTTCATTCTCTGGGCTTCAGCAGGGCATAAAGCAGCTCCTCTAAATATAGGGGATATTCTTCTTTTCAGCTTTAATACTAAGCTTTGTGAAGCAGTCAAAGTTTTCAGGCGTTGGTGGTGTGCTACTGAGGGGTTTCTTCGCTAGTGGTAGACAAACCCAGCCAGTCCTCCTGTCTCAGGCTCCAGCGTGAAGCTGGTAATCATGGGGAGTTTGAGGCTGATGCATACTACTGCCATCCTGGGCAGGAAGAAGTCCAGGACAGTTCAAGATGCAATGAGTGGTGATCTGCTAGAGTCTGTGGACAAAAACCATATGCCAGGTGTGTATTCTTTTTTCCAGTCAGACTGAGCAGAAGGTACCCTTTTGTTTTGCATCGAACAGGTACTGATCCTGTGCTGGTGCCCAATCAGCAAGCTGTTTGCTCGCAGTGTCATTCGTTAAATAGCCCCGTGCTGTATGGTGGCTGCCAAAATCACCAAGGTTCTCAGATGGCTGTTGTGATTTGTGTAGGACTGGTAAAGGCCACTTCCAGTTGGGTGGCTTACGCAGGTTATATATTGTCATTTCACTGAACTGGGTACCAATCACAAAACCATTGTCCATTGCTGGCAGTGCTTGGACTATTGTCTTAGTTTAGTAGGTGGCCATTCCATGTTTTGGACGTATTGGTTCTTGGATCATTTTGGTTGGAGAGAATGATGTATCCTGGTATCTTAAGGTGCTCTGAGTCTTCCTCTGCAATGTGTGTGTCTTACAGTGCAAGGACGTCAGTGTTATTGTCCATCAGCAGCCTTGCAATGACATCAGCCTTCAAACAAGAGAGGCCTTCCACATTAAGTTAGCATAGACAAAATCGACAGGCCTATTAAAGGAACTTTTTTGTAACTTAAAAAAAAGGATTCAGGAGTTGCTTAGGAGAGGGTTAAAAATTAATATTGTTACCTCATTTTTATAGAAACAACTTAATACCATGTCAATTTCCAATATTTTCCAGCACTGAATTTTAACTGTGGAAAAATCCCTTTCCTACTGGCTGAAAATATGGTAATTCCATTGTGATGTTCCCCTCTGGTATTATCCGGACTGGTGATCTGCTAGGTCACTCCAACCCTTGACTCTGGGAGCCAGCCTTACCCTGCTCTGCTGTGAGAACCCCCACTCCTGGGCTGTTCGCACACAGCCTCTAGCATGCAAGCTGCATTTTGGATTGTGCAACTGAATGACACTAGCCGATATCTCCAGTCCCAGGCACAACCCTAGGAACTTCCGTCTTGCAGTATCAAGTTATGCCTGCTGAACACTGCAAGCTTATATGAGTTCGTCAATTTAACAAAGAAATTGATATGTACCAGGCTTGTTATCCCAAGGAGAGTCTCTGACATGCTTTAAACCAAACGCACTGCTTCAGGTAGAACAAACAGATTTATTAACTACAAAGATAAATTTTAAGTGATTATAAATCAAAACATAACAAGTCAAATTTGGGCAAATGAAATAAAAGCCAAATGCATTCTAAGCTGATCTTAACACTTTCAGTGCCCTTACAAACTTAGATGCTTCTCACCACAGGCTGGCTGGTTGCCCTTCAGCCAGGCTGTCCCCTTTGATCAGTGCTTCTGTCGCTTGGTGATGATGTCTGTAGATGGAGATAGAAGAGAGAGGAAGAGCATGGCAAACGTCTGTCCCTTTTATCGTGTTGTTTCTTTCCTCTTTGCTTTGCCCCCCCCCCCGACTTCAGAGTCAGGTGAACATTACCTCATCGCAGTCCCAAACTGACCAAAGGAAGGAGGGTGACTCACTGGAGAGTCCAACAGATCCTTTTGTTGCTGCCTAGGCCAGCATCCTTTGTTCCTGTGAGGCTGGGCTGGGTTTGTCCCATACATGCCTTGATGAGATGTGAACTGCCTCTCTGCTCTTGGAGAATTTTGCCTGGGCTTAGTTTAAGCCATGAGGATACATTTTCAGCCTTATAACTATATACATGAAATTATAACCTAACATTACTGTAACAACAATTACTATAACACCACTGTAACAACAATGCTCAGTGCATCATGAGTCTTCCGAAGACATCCGACATGACAAACTTTGCATTGGATACCACATAATCATATTATAAGGATGAACATGGGGGTGTAGGGTACTCCCACGAGGTACAGAACGTCACATCCATATTTTAAAAACTTTATATTAGAAGATTTTTTTGCCTTACTTACAGATACTAGACAGTTGACAGGGTGCTAAAAATTGCACTAAGCTCCTCATGTTATGAGAGGTCTGAAAAAAAAATCAAATATTGAATCCAGTTGTCTGATTCTTTTATTGTACTGTATTAATATTTTAATTAAAAAACAACTAAAACATATAGGGGCCGGGGATATAGTGTCTGTATTATTCTGTAGACATTCTTTTAAAGAAAAGTACAACTCTTATAATAATCACCACGATTGCTTTGTAATACTTACAGTGATGATCTAGAAAATGTACCTCCAGACATATTTAAGTCTATTAGCCCTTCATCTCGTCATGAAATAGTTAACCCAGTTGCTATTAGGCTCCATGCTATACATTCACGTTGAAGGAGTTTGTTTGTTTAATCTACAGCAGGAATGGGAATGCTTGTCCAGTTAGTGGGGATGTTATTTTGTATGACCACAACACCTAGGAGCCCTAGTCATGAACCAGGACACCATTGTGCTAGGCACTGTACAAATGCAGAACAGAAGAACCCAGCAATGTGTATGAGTAGTTCAAATTATTCATACCAGAGAACAATATCATTGTTTTGTCGACAGTGAATTTCAGTTGTTTATATTTATCCTGACTGAATGTAGTTTGGTGCTGTATAGTCTATGATTCTACAGACCTAAATGTTGAGTGGGGCTGGCCAGAAAACAATTCCATTTCAAGAAAAAAAATTGCGGTTTCAAAATTTGTTTTCATTCTGCATTGAAACAAAACCAAGACCTTTCTCTCCCGCCCTACCAAACATAAAAAGATACTCAATGGGCCAAACGGAGATATTGGCTATTCTTGGGTATTTAATTATTTGTACAACAGGAGAGATTGAGAGAGAAACTGACTTTATAGCCGGGTAGTTATGGGAGACCCAGTTTCAAGTCCCTCATCCAAAACAAGGAGAGCAGGGCCTTAAACTTGGATCTTACATATCACAGGTAAAAGCCCTAACCATCAGGCTATTAGCCATTGAGGAGCACACACTCTAATTTGCATCCTGGGCCTGAGAAGTCCTCCCAATCAAGACGGATAGATCTCTGTTAAACATTTCTTTTTTGATGGGAAAAAAGTTGTCAAATTTTCCACCAACTCTATGATCCAGTGTATTCCTCAAGGTGAGACAGTGCAGGAAATTTGTTGTGCTTCTTTATCTTGTTCTGATGGGGCACCCATTAAACCACATGCCCTTACATTAAAAAGTAAGTATTCTTTAAAAGAAACAATATAAGGGTTCGACTGCTCCTCCTGCTGCTTTCATAAAGGACTTTTGGAAGCCCACCAGCAACATCTAATATTCTTGGGCTCATTTATTTCGGTACTGACTATTGCCCATTGCCCCTTTACTTTCAGCTTTGCATCTGCTTTTACTTGTAAATGTCCCCTCACAAAACCTGGGGCAGACAGTGCAAGCAAGCTCCTCCCAGAGCAGTACAGGAGCAACGTAACTGACAATCAACAAAACAATGCAATTGACTCCACACCAAGTGCTGTCAAATTCACAAAGTAAACAGATTGGAAAAATAAATAAATGATTGTCTTTATTTTTTTCCCATTCTAATAACCTTAGAGGCTATTTGTAACAATAGTAGGTACAACTCTGTCAAATGGAAATGTGATTTCCAAGTTGGTGTTCCTTTGAGGTGATTGATTAGTTCAATTTTCCAGATGTCAGACAGGTGTAGTTAGGTACATGAGGAATTCAATTTCAGTAATTAAACACTCTAATGATTATTTGGCTATAACAGTCATATCCTTATTTCCAAACCTAGTATTCATTGTTCTGGTACATTTGCCTCACTTATAACCATCAGCTAGTTTCCAGTTTTAAGGATCAGGCTAGAAGGAAATTAAGTGCTAACAAGAGCCAATCTACTGTGTATGTGTTTGTATTGCATTCATCACCACTGGTAGAAAGGGACTGTAGGAAATGAAGAGGAAATAGTTATTATGCCAACATGGAAAGAAATGAAGACGTGCCAATCAATTCTACATTGTGTTGTGGAAATTGGGAAAGAGCTGATTGAGGATGCTTTCTGGAACACATTTTTTCCCACTTGCATATCCTGGCTCTCCACTCTGTAGCTTACTAACCCACAGAAAAAGAGAGTCACTGACTGTTTCAGTGCTGGATAGAATTTGTATAATACCCCTACATAGCTACTCAGTATTTCTCAAATACTGGCTGTTTTGAAATAAAAAGTATTCTGTCTTAGTAAAACAACTGATATAGAAACATCTTTATTGCATTTATCCATATTGGGCCTAGCTATGCAATACTTATTCATGCCAAATTGCATATATTAACATGAGTTTGTCCCACTGAGGTCAGCGGAACCAATTGCGTGAGTAAGTGCAATTCACTGTGAGGGAATTTTGCAGAATGAGGCGCTACTTTTGTAACATGCATTACTATATCTGAATACTATTGGTAATCAACAGGATATTACAGATCAGATGGAAGGCTGCCCAAATCAATTCTTATAACTGAATTCCACTGTATTGTGGTCTTGCACTGGATTGAACATACTTAATTAAAATTTTGAGATGCATTTATGTTTAAACATCCTGGGTAGGTGAGACTCTTATGGCATCTTCATTAAGAAATAGAGAGGTTTCTGTTCTATTAAGTAGTGGTGTTGGCATGCACATTTGTAATGTGTTGAAAATGGGCAGATAAATTATGGATCAGGACCAAACATAAAGGCAGCTTGTCATTGTATTAAAATTTATCTTCCAGCTGTGGTTCTCTGTATACCTTTAGACTTGGCATGATATTGGATCAAAGTTACTACAATGCCTGGATGCTTTAAGGCAAAGGCTTCCAAACTTTTTTTTGCTGTGCCGCAACAACACCCCCACTCCCCTCCCACCCCCCCATGGAAGTTGCATAACAACTCCCTCTCCTATATCCTTCCCAGCTGTGGCAGAAAGTGACTCATGCAGGGAAGCAGGCAGCTCACACCCATAGCAGCAGCAGAACCCATCTGGCTCCATCCCCAAAGGTGCCCAGCACAGCATGGTGCAGAGCGAACCAGGGCTCCTTGCCCTCCATCTCACCTGCCCACAACCTTTCACACCTGCAAACTCCAGAAGGTTTAAAAATACATGGGGCTGTGGCTGGCCAGGTCAGGGCAGCAGCAGGGAGAGTGCAGAGGCAGTCCCCAGTATTTAGCAAATATCTTGGAGAAAATATGTGCTGTGTACACTATGGCTTTGTTTCAGCAAGATACTTTACTTCAGTGGGACTACTTGCTAAGTTATGCACATGCTGAAGCACTTTTCTGAGTCAGGGCCTTAAAGGGCAGCACAGTTTACTTCATATACTGCTCTACTTGCCAGTCAGAGTCTGCGCCTGCCTTCTCTCC